TGGATTGTTTTTCTTTCTGAAAAGGATAACCAAGATTACGAAAACTCAAATTACTCATGCTATTTGAAGAGTTTAGTATATGTGTCGATAGTGATATTATTACTTATCTTGACGAGCATAAGATTGAAACCTTAGAAAATAATACTCGTGCTGCTGATGAGTATTCCTTAACTCACAAGGTTCGTTTTGTAAGCAAGTCTTTTACTCAGCAGTCTTCTGGCATAAAGGTATTTCAGCCTAATACAACTCTTTCTAAAACTCAATATGGCACAATTAAATATCAAGCTTCTGATAAGATCGATACAAAATATTTGTATCTTCCTAGGTGTACATATTTTAAGAAGAAAGAACTCATTATTTCTGATTTCCTTAAATTGAACCTTAGGCATCAGAATCCAGATATACCTATCCAAATTATTTTACATCTAGGAGGTCAAGGTCACGATCATGTACTGAAAGTAATAATTTTTGTTTGGGCAAAGATTTTATTGTGGAGAATTATTTACCATTCATATCGAAGGTTTCTATATCACTCGTGGGTGATTTGGCTAATTATGTCCGTATTAAAAAATTTCAAGGGTTTCATGAGCTTCTTAAAATCTTTTGCTTTCAGGTGTTTTGCCCTTTTCTGAGAAGTCGTCTTCTGATGAGATTGTTCGGCTTTGTTATTATTCCTCTACATTGTGTAAATTTCAGCAGTCTAAGTTTCAAGACTTGTGACAGTAAGAATATTGTTTTCTTTACCAGTTGAGGGCATTCGGTTATTATTAGGCAAAGACCTAGATGGAGACAAGGTGGTTAATCCAGTTGTAACTTACAGGTTTTCTTCATATCAGAAAGTTAGTCATAATAAGAAAGAACTCCCCGATTTACACTAGGCTGTGCAGTTACTAGAGTTACTAGAGTAAGAGTTAGAGAAAGCTCTTGAGAATAATTCCGATAAGGAAAATATTTCTTTAGCTGAGACCCTGATATTTCTTGTGTGTTTCAAAAGACTATTAGTGAGAACGAAGCCACGGATGTTCATGTCTGTCATTTCATTAAAAATGGAATTCTTGTGAGAAAATGGAGACCTCCAAAGGTACCCACTTTTGACGAAATATCAATGAATTATCAGGTTGTAGATCCAAACTCGTACAAACAGGAAATATTTAGTTTGGCCCATGAAATTTCTCTGGCTGGACATTCGGGGATTAATAAGACTTATCACAAGATCTTGACTCACTCATATTGACCGAAAATCAAACGTGATGTTTGTTAATACTGCAAATCTTTTCATATGTGTCAAATGTTAAAAACCCAATCAGAATATACCAAAAGCTCATCTGCAATATATTCCTGCATTTGACGAATCATTTAACAGAATAATTTTAGATTGTATTAGTCTCTTACCTACGCCCACGTGAGGCAACCAATAGTTGTTGACCATAATGTGTGCATCAGCAGGATTCGCTAAGGCAAATCCTTTGAGAAATATTTAAACTAAAACTATATTAAAAGCTTTGATATAGATTTCTTACTCAATATGACCTTCCCAAATCTGTCCAATCTGGTCAAAGGTCACATTTTATGTCTTAAATTTTTCAGCTAGTTATGGTTAAATTTGTTATTCAGCAAGTCAAAAGTGAAATTATTGTTTCACAGAACTTGCATGGAAAGAACGTTTTAATTTTGTAATAGGTTCACGCTCTCTTGTTCATTTAGCAAAATTGTATTCAAGTTAGGTATTACGCCCCTTAGACAGTTAAGATAAAATGAATATATAATTATAATAATAATAAAATGAAAATATATTTAATTATAATTAATGGAATATATAGTTAGAGAGATAACCAAGTAAATCCTGCAATTTAGTTATATCTGTCCCTCCATCTGATGCTGTAAGTGAATACTTTCAATCGGACTCTACTGATTTAGGAACAACAAATTTTCGCAATTCGGAAATATTGAAAAATCTAAACAAGAAATGTTTACATTTGCAATAACAAGAAAGGAATGAACTTCAACATCTATTATTTAAGCACTTATTTCCAGATGTTACTACGAGGACAAACACAATTTTTTATCATGTTGAAATTGTAAATTCCAAATCTTTGATAAAACACGCATAGAGAATAAACCATCTAAAACAGGAATACTTGTAAAAGAAAATTCAGTATTTGCTGGAGAATGATTTTATAGAACCGAGAAAAAGTGTTTGAAGTTCCCCATGTGTACATGTTCCGAAACCAGATGAGACTTTCTGTATGTGCACTGATTATAGGAAGGTGAAAATGTGAGTAAGACAGATTCATTTGCATTGCCAATAATCGATGACGGCACCAATAAAATTAGCAACCCAAGTATATCATCAAATTTGTCCTTCTAAAATAACTTTGGCAACTTCCACAAATGGAAAGGGCAAATGAAAAGTCGGCATGTTTGACTCCTGATGGACTTTATCAATTTAAATGATGGGGTTCTGGACGAAAGGTTCTTGAAATACTTTTCAACGTTTGATGAATATGATTAGCTCTGATCTAGATAATTGTGATGCTTACATAGATGTCAACATCTACAACGACACCATTGAAGAATATCTAGCAACCATTCAGAAATTCATTGACAAACTCAGTGATGCACTTCGTTGCGTTAGTTTGTAAAATTGAATAGTGCTTCCTGTTGCGGAGAGGAACGCTAAGTAACATTCGATGCTTTACTTCATTCGCTTGTTTTGACTCCCGTGTTGACTTACGTGTCTTTAATAGTCCTTTCATCATTGATACAGATGCATTAGGTTGAGTCATAAAGCGTTGTGGTCCGTTTTAAGAAATCTAATGGCAACAAAAGTGGATGCGTATGCCAGGCGATGCCTAGATATAACTGAATAAATATTATTTGTGATACGTTGCAAATTGTTGGCCTTCATTCTTTACATTCCATATTTCAAGACATATTTGAATGGCAGAACTGATCAGAGCAGCTTGCAGTGGCTTATGCACATCAAATAGCCAAATGGTCAACTGATTCTCTTGTTGGAATAGTTATCATCGAAATGTCATGAAAAGTGGACATGATGCAGGTTTTCCTCGTGCAAATGCAGATGGCCTGAGACGATTGCGTTATGTTCTCCAACTTACGGCTGAAAATGGGTATTGTTTGGAATGATTGAGAGATGTACAAAAACAGTAGTGTAAAATGTATACAATGTGATTCACTCGTTTCATATCAGCTTCAATCTTGCGAAAATTTTTCTGGTACCACGGAAGGGGGGATTTATATCGTGATTGGAACAAATTTATAGCCATCTTTATGGGAATCGTGTAAGTTGTTTTCCAGTGCCAGATGCAATGCTGATATGAGTACATCCAATCGATCTGGCAAGCTAGAGGCAATGTTGTGCCGCACAGCTGGTGGCTAAATACTTTTAAGTGTGTCCTGATGGATATTGTATATGGGGATTCTTTTTTAATAAGGTATGCCAGCGGTACTATTGTCCATCATACAGGATGATATAAGGGATTACTGTACAAAGTCAACATATTCCGCATACATCCAGCACAATAGCGTAAACCAGAACTGCCAAACCAAATGTCAGAGAACAGCTGATGAAATATGGAATCCTGTAGGTTTGTATATTTGACTACGACAAAAATAATCATTATCCTCATGACTGGTGATAACCCAATGAATAGAAATGGCAACATTGTCAAATTAAAGCAGACACAATTGCAAGGACTTTGTTGAAGAACTTTATATTTAGATTTTGTGTGCGAGATATGTTATTTATGGTCAAGTCTGTTAGTTCAAAAACACAGTATTTCATGCATTCTGCGTCATATTAGAAGTAAAGCAGACAAGATGATTTCTCTATTAAGGCAGTCATATGGGGTGGTGGAACGATATATATATATATATATATATATATATATATATATATATATATATATATATATATATATATATATATATATATATATATATATATATATATGCTAGCAAATTACATTAAAGACATTGCATACAATTAGCATTAGATTTTCCTTCTTTCAATCTTTGAATAGACGGTGTAAGAATAAACATCTACCGGATGCCATCCAAACTGACGCGAATACGAGACTTTAACCATCAACGGATCGTTTGGTGGGCGAAGAACTGAACGAAGCACCTATGAACATACTTGATAGAATTTGGGTACCACAATTCGGGACCACTAAGTCACCTATCACATCAAGGCCAGTAGTATGCCATTTCATAATGGTTACCTGCTGTGGTTGCATCGCACACAACGAAATAAACGGCAGTAACCGAAGCAATTAGGTCTTTATTTTGACTTTTCTTCAAGACAACAACGAATGAAGCATCTCTCACAGCAACAGGGCACACTGCGAATGCGATTATCAACTTCAAACTAGTGAAGCTTTGCTTTATAAGATTCCTGAGTGAAAGTGATTTCGCTGATGAATTGAAAGTCATAAGATGTTTATTGCGGAATGACAAGTAATGAGTCCTGCCACATCCCGTAATAGCTTAAGCAGCAAAGCTACTGTTTCGAAAAAGGTCACACCGTGCACTCATGAATGAAACTATGGAGATCAGTGCTAATGGTTCAAATATAGTGTTTCACAATGTGTATACGACTTTAGAATTGTAATTCACCCGACGATTTTGTTTACCCTCTCTCATTGTCTGTTTGTCTCCCATCCATTCACAGTGTAAGTTTCTTTCTTAGATATGAAGGAACATGCTGTGTGAACCATAATGTGTGAGAGAGAGAGTTTGCTTTTTTGGTTTGGATTTTAACGTAACTTTAACAATTTGTTTTTCAGTCATATCCCTGCTATGTCTGGAGTGTTGCAGTTTATAGCGATGTTTAGCTGGGACATCATGTCACATATATGTAGCATGATGTGTCACTCAGTCACATTATCTTGACACCAGGCCGACCAGTCCTAACACTAACCTCTTAATGATGAGCGTTAAACGAACCAGCTGAAAGTGCCATTTTTGTACGTCTTTGATATGACTAGGCCGGGGATTGAACCCACGACTTCCCGAATCCGAAACGGAAGCTTTTAACCACCAAGCCACTGGCGCGGTTGAGAGAGAGAGAGAGGGGGGCAGATGGGACTTTTACCACAATAACAAGTGTCACCACAAGTATACACAGTGTTAGTACTCGGTTAGAAAAGCGTAGGGTGATATATACTGCTAAGGACGCAGAATTTAAAACAAGCATTCAGAGTCCCAACGCCAACTCACGTGCCAATTCACTGTTCACTATGTAGATTCGTGAACATGATGTCCTCTTTCTTCATTACTGGCCACTACTCTCATACATGTAAAACTCCGAGCTGGCAACACTAGAAAGTGAGTGGGTGATTATTATGCATTAGTCTCCACCATTGATAAAATGGAGTGCCTGTCGTATACAACAACAGGCAACTAATTCATTCATCTGCTTCAAAAACAGTGAAATGTGCAATGGAATATTACATACCGTATTTAGAACGATATCATTGACTGGAAAAAGCTAATTAGCAGATACAGAATATTGGCGTAATAAAATTAGCTTACTTTTTCTGAAGAAAGTTAAATATAGGTAAATTGTAGACAGCAGTCAGCTTGATTCTAAAACCATTCTTTACATAGCTTTCACTTCTCAGGTATTATTGAAGCGAACAATATTTCTAACTGCCTAAATTTCAAAAACGGGCACCTGCAGTGCAATTTATCTCTAAGCATGAATCTCACATCATATAATTTTTCATCCTTTTTAAAGTTTACAACAGATAAATCATTCAAAAATATTAAAGTTTCTTTTCCAGGTTTTGCCACAACAAAAAAACCAATATTTCAAAACTTAAGCATTGCTGTATATAGGAATAGAATTATATTCACGTATCCAACATTCACTTTAATAACACAAGGCACACGTACTCATTTTATAAACTATTTGGAACATTTCATACTGAACTGCATCCTTTTTATTAAAACAGTTCCATTAGTTTCTTAACCTCCCTTCAATAGCTATTGACTTTATAGGGTTTTACTGTCATAAATTACAGAAATCAATTCTGATATTTTCTGTGTCTTTAGAAAGAATTATGTAGATCTGGGAATGAAACAATATTTTTTTTCTGTTTAGTGAGTTGTAGTCTTTACCGCTTATCAATAGCAAAATGTCAATATAACATTGGAAATTTATCCTTTCTTCCGAGGAAAGTTTATGATCACAGTGAAAGCTGCGTAGTAGAAACCAGACAAAAGCTTATACTGACGAGCAAGACAGGAAAAATGAGATATGGCGTTAAGTGTAGGATAGGGATTCGCTTTGGATAAGGGTTACTATTGGAATACGTTGCCATTGTAGCCAAATCTTCCCTGCAATTTCAGAGACGGCAACATATTGTATCGGAAGAAAGTACACAGAATTGATAGCAATCAGATGCAAATAGAGACAATTTATGCTATTTTGCGATTGTCCGAATAATGATGAAACATGTTTATAAAACATTTAACAATCGCTTCCTTGGTTGCGATTGACCGATTGTCATTGTTATCGTCATTTTATTGCTGTCTACCTTCTGCACACACACACACACACACACACACACACACATTTATATAATCTTCCAGCAGACTCCTCCAAATACATTCATCAATAGGTGCATAAAATGTCAAAGAAAACAATTCTGCAATTGCACACACACACACACACACACACACACACACAAATTGATAAAGGCTCCAAGTTCAAAACTGTTTCCCAACGTTTCGAGCTAAACAACCACTCACTACAAAATGTAATTTAAATTTTTGACTTCTGAATGTTAAATTACTAAAGATAATTACGACAAGAGGTATTACAATACAAAATTTTGTCAAAATAACAGACGAGCGGGTTCTTGTGTCCATCAGATAGACCTATTTCTATGGCCTGAGCAAAGGATGGAAACAGGGCCTGGGGAGAGATGAATTCCATCTACCAGATTTTGTAAAAAAAAGAATATATCCTGGTGAAGTTAAAAGTTTGACCACATGGGGGAGATGGAATAGATATATAATGTGTCTTCGCAGTCGGTCAGTATATTCGGTACCTGCCTCCAATTACCTAGGTTAGTTGAATCAAAAGCAGAAAATATAACGATTATACAAACGAGACAATGAGAGAGAGTAATGAATTATATATATATATATATATATATATATATATATATATATATATATATATATATATATATATATATATATATATATATATATATGTATACTAGTATAGCTTTCAATCTTAGAATAATCTACACGGTTAATGTTGTTCGCTTAATTAAGCTCCTTGAGTCTTTGTTCAAAACATGCAAACTAAATTATTGACACCCAGGTCTCTGATCCCGGCAAGGTGCAAGTAAGAAATGAGCACGAGTCGGAGTTTGCATGTGTGTGTGTGTGTGTGTGTGTGTGTGTGTGTGTGTGAGAGAGAGAGAGAGAGAGAGAGAGAGAGAGAGAGAGAGAGAGAGAGAGAGAGAGAGAGAGAGAGAGAGAGAGAGAGAGGTTATATTCATCATATTATCATGTGGAATAGATCCGCATAAAAATACGTTCCTGACATGACCTTTACTGTTGTAAAATAATTAACTTTAGGAACATATTTAAATAAAACGAAGTGAGATTGTTTGATGTTGTTTTTGTCCTCTTTGACTTCATGATTCCAAGTGATAGTTTCTCAGACACCACAACTCTTCTCAACGTAGTAAAAGTGCCACGGAACGTGCGCTGCAACTTAATGTTTAGCGCCCAACGAATTTCTTACAGGATAATTCCAATTTTGAAATAGCGTGCTTATTCTAACTTTCATTCATTTATTTACAGCTTACAAATTCAATCAGGCAATTGTGAGACAAATCTGAGCACACTAAACGACGTGTAATATTTTAATATAACGTTATAGCACGCCGCTTACATGATTTGTCCATTTTGTACTTTAAACCCAGCTTTGTTTATTCACAATATGTTTATCATTTCTGTGTATGGATAAATTAAGAATTATTCTGACTAAAATAGTACCGCATCAAGATGACGTTACATACATATACCATATACCATATATACTACATTATAAGTCTAGTCCAATTGTATATATAAGGCCGATCTGGGTGCATACAGCTGGCAGTTGGACTCGAGTTATAAAAAAGATATTACAGTAGTTAAGAATTCGATAACATTTGACAAAGATGTTATAAACTAGACACATTTTACATTTTGAACGCATTCAATAGTTTCAGATAGGAAAATATAGTAGCACTTGTATCAATTTAGAGTATCATATCTGCACATTTATACCATGCAAGGGAGTACCACATGTACACATTTATAATATACAAGAGAGTGTCACATGCACACATTAATATCATGCAAGAGGGTATCATACATATATTTTTATACAGGAGAGTGTCACATGAACACATTTATACCATATAAGAGAATAGCACGTCTAAACAGTGATACCACACAAATGAATATCGCTTGTGTACATTAATACGATACGAGAGTATCACATGTACACATTTATACGGTACAAGAAGGTATCACATGTACACATTTATACCATACACGAGAGTATCACATGTACACATTTATACCATACAAGACAGTATCACATGTACACATATATACCATACAAGAGGGTATCACATGTACACATTTATACCGTACAAGGGACAATCGCTTGTGTACATTCATACCGTCAATTATAGCGTTTAATATATTACTCGCTTTTTGTAAAACATATACAGATAATTCTAATCAATTGGATTTGGGCAGATTATGTAGTTTGCGCTTATAAACGATCGCCAACTTATTATTATCTTATTAATCTAACCTTATCCCTCCCTTTCTTTTTTTTTTTTTGAGCGTGTACAACGCTACAGTGGTTATTTCATTTATTAACATCAATCATTTAATCTTTGCTGTGGAATAAAAAGTGAGGCTTCACGACTTAAATCATATTTATCAATAAGAGTCGATATATATATATATATATATATATATATATATATATATATATATATATATATATATATATATATATATATATATATATATCAGCTCTTAATCAGTCATTTAAAAAGCAAATACACAACGCAGACAAGACAAACAAATAAAAGAGAAAACGATTGTATATGCAAAACTTTATACAAGACTATTTTTACAGGAATTAAAGCTTTAACTTTAATATATTTCGAAACGTTTATTGTAACTTGTATCATCGATGAAGCGTACCTGCTGATATGGTATACGTTCCACCGATGCAAAAAAGTTGAATGTCAAGTTCTCCCATAATTGTTTTACATACGAAGGGACCATTTTGGAATATATTATTGTTGTTATTATTATTATTATTATTATTATTATTATTATTATTATTATTATTATTATTATTATTATTATTGGTAGTAGTAGTAGTAGTAGTAGTAGTAGTAGTAGTAGTGGTAGTAGTATCTTGTGTGAGATAATATATAATTGCTATTTTTAAACTTAGAAATATTTACGTCAGTAAATATTCAGTTCAGGTAACCACGAAATGTGGAGAAAATGCATAAAGAAAACTATTCAATAAGTTTAAAAGAGTGCACATATTTACTGGTATGAAAGAAACAATGAGTAGAGAATGGATCATTGGTATCAAAATATATTGAAATATTAGAGGAGAACTGAGGATCTCTATTTCTTTATACGAATACGTATATATATATATATATATATATATATATATATATATATATATATATATATATATATATATATATATATATATATATATATATATATATATATATAAGCGGCGACTAATATATATTGTTTATGGAGACATGAATAGACTCATAAAAAAGCTATTGGATTCATAAGTTTCATACCTTGTATCCTAACGGCTTTAATACCAAAGCAATATACAAAATTGTATAAAATGTTGATTAAAATTTATTTGTTGTGTATCCTTTATAAAAATATACCCGTATTATTGACTCTGTTTTTTTATTATTTTACTGATTTCGTTGTTCTATGTATAAAATTGTTATGGTGATACATATCATGTATCA